TCCTAATCTCCAACTTCAAATTATAATAAAAGTTGTTAGGTCTAGTCATGCGATTACAACTATGAGCATTTGTTTTTTGTATTTGAACAAGAATTTTCCTAAACAGGAAAATGATGCATGACTTCAGTTGAAAAAATTAAAGCATCAAGACTCAACCACTGCAAATCAGGAGTTTGAAAACAAAAAAGTAACATTCTGCCTGGTGTCCTTTTGCAAATAAATTTTAAAAAAATAAGTAAATGTTGATTTTTAAGTAACAATCAATTATCTCAAGAACAATCCAGAAGCCAGAAATTTAACTCAAAGACTTCTTAGTACAATTAAACTAGAAAGGGTTAACCTGCAACCCCAAGCGGTATTTGCATGAGGAGATTCACAGCTGACAGTAGCAACTGTCTGGGTCATCTAGACAGCTGTTCAGATTGTGTGTGGCTGTTAAGAGTTTTGCCAGCAAGTTTTTTACCTTTCCAAAAAAATGCTGAAGCAAAATACACTTTCAAACTAGTAAATCTCCTTTGTAAAAAGCTGAACTTCAAAGTGCATCCACATTCTCATGTCAGACAATTATAAAATAGTACAACAGATTTATACAAACAGTTCGTCTAGTAATCACCTTGGCAGTAATTTCTGTTCTGCACAAGGGACTTCTGCCTGGAAGAACGCTGAGCTCTAGGATCCCAGGATGCAATATAAAACAAAATTAGCATAACTAATTTACATATATTTTGTGAATGTTGCTGTTATGCTAATTTATAAAAAATTAAAATAGTAAATAACTAATTTTAAGCCAACTTTAATATGAGATTTTAAAAAGTTACATAAAACAGGCCATGTGTTTCTGAGGATTCCCCCTCCCCCCCAAGTTTGTAGACCTACTATTGATCTGTTAGGTTTACATCCAGTTGGTGCATATGTAGGGATACAGGGAAGGGAAGATTTATATGCTGAAATCAGCTGGAAAAAATGCAAAGATACTTCTGTTTTCAATTATTTTTGAGCTACATTCTACAGCAACAATGAAAACCTGTCTCTCAGTTATTTAAAGAACTGCAACACCTTAACTGAAAATGATACTTTGCACTGTTCAATAAGCTCGGTTGCATCTGAAGACGTTGGTTCACAGTATGAAAAACATATATACACTGATAGTTACTAAGATCAAAAGATAAAAGGCACTTCATATGCACTGTACACCTTGAGCACTTAGGAAAAATGCAATAATTCTTCAGCTCAGAACTCTGATTAATGCAGTAAATCCTACCTGATACCCAGGAAGAATCCAACAATAAATTTTTACAAGACGGTGGAGCTGCTCCCCTGTGGTTTATACTAGGAAAGCTGAAGAAGAATGAAACTTACTGTAAAGAAAAGCTCCATAACTCTGCTGTCCAGAAGGGTCTCACGCCAGGACTCTGTTGGCTTTAGCATCACATTTTGTGAGGATTCAAACATAGCTATATAATGTCTGCCCAGTTATCTGGTGTCAAGGTCAACAATAACATTCCTACTTGGCTTTAAAAAAAAATCCTAGATACAACAGGATCCATTCAGAAAGAATGTAATGGAAACAAACTTTAAGCCTCTTGACATACACAGCATAATTCATGCATGAGGCCAAGGAATAAAAGGTATTAAGTATTGAAAAAAAGAATGTTTCAGGAATGTCAGATAACAGTTTGATCATAATTATGAGACATACCATAGTGATACGATCACTTTGATAACCAGGGTGTCTAATGTGACAGGGGGAGAAGGGAAAAAAACCCACTGCAATTAACAGGTGTTAAAATTTATATAAAATGGGAAATCATTTTCTAAAAATTTTTTCCTGGCAGCTTTTATAAAGGCTGTATGAGAGCTAAAGATAGCTCTTTGAAACCTATATCCTATTTTTCTAAATAGCCAAATATGCTGCATAGAATGAAGATATGTTAGCCCTGTATTAATCTAAATTTTTTATCATGCTGTGAAGAACAAAGGCTCAAGGCAACACAAGTGATTGTCATATAAAACATATGTTGCTAAAGGAGAAACATAAGGACCTGCATGCATTTCACCAATGTATTCACTGAAGATATCATTAGACCCCCCCATCTTTTAACCTTAAATTATTGAAAAATATATAGCTTTGAAGTTTGCAAATGATCTACAGCTAGAGAACCAGAAATGTGAGAAACCATTTAACAAACATACAAATCCCAGCATTCTGTGTCAGTTTATAACCTAGAATGCATTTTTATGCATGTTTTTTGTGTACCGTGCATACCACTGCACTGATTAAAGTAATCAAATATGTGGCTTTTAGTTCATCAGGTTAAATCAATTTCTAGTCAATAAATGCTGTTTATTACTATACTTATAAAAGTCAGTAAGTTCCACCCGACTCATGCAATTAATGGAATGAGTAAGTAACTGAAGATCTTTTTTTTTTAAAGACCAAAAAACCCTCAAATACAGTAGTATATGCAACAGTGTAAGAGTAACTAAAGAATGGACTATTTTATTTTATTGCCACTTCTCTGAGGAAGGCTCATGAGTGCTGCAGTGAACCAAAATATAACTCAGCACCAATTGCACATAGTAAAACTCTGTTATCGTGAAGACATTTTTTCCACAGGACAGCCTTATTGCAAGCTGGAGGTGTCCTATAACCAGGGCTGCAAACAACATTGTAAAGGACTTTCATTCTACTTCAATCAAAATTTACCAATGTGTACATGAACATTACTGAATTACTAAAGATGTACTGTCGTACAGTAAGCATGAAATAAGGTTTCTGTTTAGTCTCTGTGTGAGATATTGATGTTTAAAGTATCTTTAAGTGCTTCAGTTTTTCCTGGTGAAAACAAAACATAGACATAAATTATTATTATAAGCAAGCATCCCTCACCAAAACTTCATATTGCAGAGAAAGTTATATGCTTAGTGTATTTAATTGCATCTTGTAGAAGCCTAAACTGCACATTAAAGGTTTTGCTTTCCTGTTTGATGACAATCTTATAGAAATACAGCAAGATTCCTTTACTTGTACTTACTCATTTAAAGAGAACCCTTCTTAATCAGATGTAAAATATAAAGAGGAGAGGATCAGTAATGTATTATGGTCTTTGTATATCAATTTGCTCTTAATTAGATTTAATTTACAAATGAGACCTGCTACATAATACACCTCAGGGGAGGTCATTTACTGTCACTATTTTAACAAGCCTCAGTATTTAGCAGACATATCCTGTTATTTTTAGTATTGAAACTCACACTAATGGACTGATGACACACATGACAACAAAAGATTTGTAGGAAAACCATTTATGTTCACTAAACAATATAGAACAGAACTGTATCCGCATCACTGTTTTTCCAGGAGAGGCAATACTAAATTGGCTTGTACAGGTGCAATTCCTATTGTGTTCATATATGCTCAACACTACGTACACAAGCTAATGACATCTTTGTCATCTGTAGCATCTTCAGCCTTTCATACTTCCTAGCACTGGTCCAGGTACACACACATGCTGAAAAATGTGCCCTAAATTTGTGAATCTGAAGACTGTCAAAACTCTTAAAAAATAAGAAGCAATATGTACTGGCACAGAAGGTTTTCCAGAAGTTCAGGCTGCAACACAGCAAAGATTAAAAAGAGCAGAACACCATCACCACTACATAATACTGCAGGGACACTATATCTTTAAAGCATCCATTCCTACCACCACCAGAGACAGAATACTGGGCTAAATGGATGAGTGGTCTGACCCAGCATGATGCTTCTTAGGCTCTTATCGCAGTTTCTTTAAGTGACAGCAATATAAGAGACAATTCATTCTGAGAAGAACAACCAACTTCTATCCAACCACAACTTTATTTCTAATGAAGGCCATTTGTAACCCAACAGAAATGCATATTTAAAGAAACATCAATATGACATTAACAACTAAAGTTCAGAAGCTGTCCAGAGAAATTTTAAAGGAAGAATCTGCTTGAATCTTGAAAGACTGAGATGATGCATTAAATAAAGAGTGTAGTAACAGACATTTCATTCATGGCATGATGTCAAGGCTCACCTTTTCACCACAGCTTTTTGCCTGAGGGTACAACAGCAGGCTGTATTGAAGTATTATTTAGGAAGTGCTTATCTATTCTTCATAGTTTCTTTTAAATGTCACGTATAACACCCCAAAGTTATGGCACTCTGATATGTTACTGAATAGTAGTATATTATAAAATTTTATATTTGCATCTACATAACACAGTTAGTGGGGCTAATCCTCCAGATGCATACTCAGGAGATAAGTGCCAGCCTTCTCTTCAGATAGCCACCTGACCTCACCCCACCTCCACAGAAGGCACTCCATAGTCCTGAGGCCAATGGCTGGGAAAGGGCATGAAACATGCTGTTGCATCTCCAACCATGCAAAAGAGGGCTTCATTATCTTTTTCACCAAGTTTCTTTGCAAGTACCAGGGCTGCTGTTAGGGATTGAAGTTAGTGCTGCAGCTCAGGATGTTCTAGAGACCTCCACAGTTTGGGGCTGAGCCCCATAGTCCCTTCTTCTGGGTTAGCAAAGCCTCTTCCCCCATGAACCAGTATGGTAAGAATAAACAATGAAGCCTCATTTATTTTCTCAAGAGCTGACCCCCCTAACCCAACCCCCACACCTCCTTCCCATAGAAGGGATGATTTGGCTTGGATTGTGGTATTTGTTTCAAAGGTCAGTATAAATGAATTGCATTTGAAAGAGTATTTCTCCAAATATAATACAGGCACTCCGGAAGTATTCCGATATTTGCATTTTATTGACGATAAAAAATAAAAGAAGATTTAACACCATGGAAATCTTCTGCATAACATTACACTAGTACACAAAGAATATTTAGATTTTAAGACTGTGGTTCCTGGCTTGCTTCTTTGCCAAGCACAAGGCCAGGGTCAAATAACTACTTGCTAATATTGAGGCACGTGTCTACTGAAAATGGCCCCCAGGGGAAAAAGAATCTCATCCTATACAGGATTTCACAATCCCTCAGTAAAAAGTTATTCTCTGTGGACTTAGGTTTGACTACTTTTTGGTTAATAAAGGAGCAAAAGCCTCTGTTTGCAAGCTTGGCAGCCGTTTCTAAAAAATAAAGTAAATATTAAATGTTTAATTCATGAACTTATTGCATAGCTACATTGTTAACTGTTAAGACAAAATGTTGATTACCCTGTGTTTTAAGCACTTACCTTCATGTATGTCTTCCATCACTGTTATGACTCAGGTATTGCTAACAGTGTTATACTGGAGCTTGCAGCTCCACAATACTAGCTCTCAAACATTTACTCGGGTTGTCAGGCAGATTTTGCATCCCACAGTAAGCAATGTGCTACCACAGCCTCATTGCTCAACATGTCCAAGCTAGATAGCTTCAAACTGTATTCCTACTGCAGCCCCACCAGTACACATACACCAAGATTCAGAACACTGCTGCTCAGTATGTTGGCTGTCACCTAAAAGACCAGGTTTCAGAGGTGTCAGTACCATTAGGAACTGGGTTGGGGGGGGGGGGAAAATCAGGACATTGTTCCAT